AGGGCTTTATCTATTTCCGTGACCCTCACATAAAACACAAATATTAATGAGACAGTAATTTTTCTAAATGTACCAAAAATAGTAACAATTTAGCCTGTTTTAACAAAAGCAACTTTTTCTTGAAAGATGACTTTAGTATTTTAGTATACTAAGTACAGTTTATCAGATTAATTCTCTCTGAATATCTACCTTCTAGTTTATATTTTCTGCTGGATATTTCAAAACAATTCCATTTAAAAAAAAAAAAACTTACCTCTGGATGAAAAAAGATTTCAGGTCCCAAAAATCTCTCATAACCAACATCAATGGAAAATTCTTTCTTTGAGATAGCATTGATTCCAGTATACTGTTTAATCCACTTAGACCCATCTGTGTCATACTTGTTAAATTCTTTTACTAAATCTGGGCAGACATAACTATAGCGCTCCTAAAAACACACAAAGAACAAAATTAGCTTTTCCTGTTGTTTTAGGGATAGCAAAAAAGGACAGCATATTTTCAGTAAACTAAAATCAAATGAAAGAAAGTATCTTCAGAAAGTAAAATTAGAAAATTAAGCTGGAAGAAAAATTTATGTTAAGGTATTATCATATGCATAGTACAAATAACTCACCTCCTGCACATTTTTTCTCACTTCATATATAAACAGAATTGAGGGGTGGCACCTGTGGCTCAAAAGGGTACGGCGCTGGCCCATATGCTGGAGGTGGCAAGTTCAATCCCAGCCCCAGCCAAAAAAATAAATAAATAAATAATGAGTCTAGATATTGAAGAAGTAATAAATTCTCCCATCAAAGAAAAACTTAAAAAAAAAAAATTGAGATTTGAGAGATAATTTCTACTATTTTAATGTTATTTCCTGAAAATATTAATTTCATGAATCATTCCCTATTTCAGTAGTAATAAATTTTGTGTTCTAGAAATGAGAAAAAGTACACACAGAACTGAAGAATAAATAATAATTGCTATGACCACTGGACATGTAGACCCTTATTACCTATCTGAAACAAAACTAATTATGGTCTGAGTAAATAAGCAAAAAAGGGGGCTAAAATATAAACTACATTTTATCTTGTTGCATATTTGGTTATTTGGGTGAAGTAAAAGTTTTCATCAAAAACATAACTGAAAAATGTTATAGGTTATAACATCCCCTTTGTAACTTAAGGACTACTCACTACTGGCCTCATATGTCTTTTTTAAAGAAAAGAATACTTTCCCCATATTTTTACACATCAAGGACTTTAGTTAAAAATATTACTACTAATAATTAAAAGACATAGAGGGAAAAAATACTAGATATGAAGAACATCCGATTATGTTATTTTGGATCTTCTTTCTTCAAACCTTAGAAATCAGAATTACATAGAAATGATGTTCCTTAAAAGACATTAAGGCTGAGCATCAATGTTCCCTGGAATAAATTTTAATTGCTGGTGCTTTTTTGTTTTAATTTCATAGACTTTTCAAAGATATTGTAATAGTAGTAAGTATATTAAATTTTTACATATTTAATTTTATGACACAAACTTGGGGCAGTCAGTCAGTAACTTTTGGCAGTCATTCAGTACCGCCAGAAGCAGTAGGTCTTTACTACTTAGGAAACAGCTAATTTGTTTTTATTCCCAACCTTTGGAGAATAAATATGCAAAAAGAGGTAAAACAAATTAAAGTTATTTTTGACAAGGCAGTTCTGCTTTTCAAAGCATGTGAAAGACCCACTACATTTTTTAATTATGTTGACAAATAATAAAACTGAAAAACAATACTAAGTATTTTGGTAGTTTTGCACACAGTAGTGACATAATAAAGACGTATGTGGCAGAAAAAAATAATAAAATGTTTCACATAGCCTTCACATTTTTCTTTCATGTGCCAAATCACTTGAGTCAGATACTGTCTCTGTGTAGCATAATAAATTATGTCAAAATAATTTTTATGACAAACTACTGGATTAAGAATTCAGTAAAGAGTCTGAGATGCAAAATCTCTAAATGAAATATTCCCCTTATTGGGAATAATCACAAAACTTATGTTAAAGTCATATGGTAAAATGTTCTTATATGTTAGTCCTCTTTAGTGTACAATATGAAGAAAACAGGCAAAAGATTGATAATAATTTCCTTGCAAGAAATTCAGAGAAAACTTACATATAATTAAGAGTAATGATTTATGATTAACAAGATTATTTTAAGTATTATTCTTCACTTAAAATTTTTTCATGCTCACGTGATAAATGTGATTTTAATTTTTAACTAAATGACATTTCTCTTCCATCACTAGTTTTTACCTTTACTGCCTTAGCAGTTTCCAGGGATTGTTCTGGAGGGATTCCTACTTCTCGATCTCTCAGCAGTTGCTGAATAAAATATGTTATATCTCGTCCTGCAATTGGAATGTGTTTAATACAGCTGCCAATCACATACCCTTCAGCCTAGACAGGGAGAAAAAAAGGTGTCAAATTTAAGTGTTAGGAAAATTAAGATAACCTAAAAAATGAACCACTAAAGACCAATTTCTCAAGTTAGTATGTTTATATTCTCAAGCACTACTTCGTCCCAGGAGAATTCATCTTTATTCTTCAATTGTATTCCTCACAATGTACTTAAATACTGTACAGAAATTATGTTCTTAAACTACTGTACAGGGGCAGTGCCCGTGGCTCAGTGGGTAGGATACAGGTCCCATATACCCAGGGTGGTGGGTTCGAACCCAGCCCCAGCCAGCTAAAACAGCAATGACAACTGCAACAACAGCAACAACAAAAAACCCATCAGGCACTGTGGCGGGCGCCTGTAGTCCCAGCTGTTTGGGAGGCTGGGGCAAGAGAATCGCATAAGCCCAAGAGTTTGAGGTTGCTGTGAGCTGTGACACCATGGCACTCTACTGAGGGTGACATAGTCAGACTCTATCTCAAAAAAAAAAAAAAAAAACTACCATACAAAAATTATAAACAATGACTAGCAACTTAAATGTATTTATTCCTCCACTGACAATTTATAACTGAATAAAATGATTCAACAACACAGAAATGATGTATTTTGGAAGATATGTATCAAATGATTTAGAGAGCAGACTTTACATCAGAAAGGCTATTATCTTGAAAACTTTTATAATTTCAGCAAAAAACTGAGATTGCTGAAGAAAATCCGATCATTAATTCACAAAGTAGCCATCATTTTCCTAATGAAGTAGGTACTCATTTCAAAAGCCTGACGCCTTCCATGCACCATCACAATGCCAAATAACTAAATTCTATAGAATAGATTCAGAAACTGATTGATAAGGGTCAGGATTATAACAAATAATATAGCAAAATTAAATTTCATTAAGAAAGAATATTAAAGACATCTTCACCTGGCCATGAAAGAATACAAGGTATTGGACCTCCTCAACTTAAAGACAAAACAGGAAAATTCATATGAAATAAAGGTGAATATCACAAACACCCTATCTCAATGCCTGGGTAGAGTTACCAGGCAGCAATAATGGGATGGAGAACCCAAACAGAGCTTTGTGGTCTTCTTAACTAGAATTTAGAGTTCAGAAAAACCAAAGTGACTCAAGTTTGTAGTCGCAGTGCTGGAGGAGAAGGCTTCATGAACAGAGAGCTTGAGATATGAAGACAGTATCTCCTTAGCTGACTACTCATCAGGGTATCATGAGGAAATTATCAAGGCCACAGAAAGAACCTTCAGAAAAAAAGTAGACAGAACAATCTTTAGAGCTCACACGTGGCCAGAAACAATTCATGTTCCCACTAGCCAGAGTTAAAAGATTTTCTAAACGTAAAACATGAAATCAAGTTGTCAGAAGAATATTACCTCAATAATAGGGGAAAAAACAGCCACAGACAAAAGCCTATTCTGGACCTGCTTAGTAACATTTAAAAAGGAGTCCACGGGAGCCCATGAGAGGATCAAACTGATTCCCACTAACTTAACTTTGTTCCAGGAGAAAACTCTAAAATATTTAAAGGACTTGACATATTCAGGATGCATCAATGTAAATATACAGTACCAAATCAAAAACTGTAAGCATACAAAGAATCAGGAAAGCACAACCCTTGACCAGGAGAAAAAAAATAATAAAGAGAAATGACAAGGATGATAGAATTAGTAGGCAAAAACAGTAACTATATATTCCACACAATTGATAAGGTCAGTAAGATCAATGAGCACGAGGAAAGGAAAAAGGAAAGATACAAAAAGACTCTTAAGAAGAAAACTATAATATTTGAATTTTTTTAAAATGCTAGATTAAGATTACAGCAGATTAGACAAAGAAGAAAAAAAGGATTTGAAGACATAGCAATAAAAACTACCAGAGTTTAAAAAAGAAAGAAAAAGAAGCTCGGCGCCCATAGCACAGTGATTATGGCACCAGCTATAAGGTGGGTTCAAACCTAGCCCAGACCAGCTAACCAACAATGACAACTGCAACAAAAGAATAGCCAGGCATTGTGGAGAGCACCTGCAGTCCCAGCTTCTCAGGAGGCTGAGGCAAGAGAATGGCTTAAGCCCAAGAGGTGGAGGTTGTTGTGAGCTGTGATGTCACAGCACTCTACCAAGGGTGACATAGGGAGACTCTGTCTCCAAAATAAGAAAAAAAAAAAAAAAGAAGAAGAAGAAATGAACAGAGCTGGTCTAATTCTTATTTGCAGTTGGATGTTAACAGTTAAAGATGTTTACTATAAATTATAGAGCAACCACCACCAAAAAACAAATGACGACAGCAAAGAGGTATGGCATAAATAATAAATCAACAAAGAAGATAAAATGAAACAATAAAAAATAGTTTATTAGTCTGAAAGAAGGTGAGAAAACAGTGAACAAGAATATTTATTCTTTATTCTTAATATCTTTACTAAAACACCATTCTTTTCCATTTTAATAACTTCTATTTACAAATTACCAGTTTTAATTATCAAGATACAGTTATTATTCCTCAGTTGTGTAGATGTTCAGAAGAGACTTAAATGAGACAGAACCATTTCAAATCCTAGCCTCACTACCTATTATTTGGTGACCACAGGCAAGACACTTAC